AATGAGAGCCCTCATCGGGTAGAAGACTTCGTTAAGAATTTTATTATTCTTATTTCTTTGGTCAAACGATAGTCCCTATCGGATAGGAGACTTCATTAAGAATTTTTATTTTTTTATTTTTTGGTCAACAAGAGTCCCTATTAGATAGGAGACTTCATCGAGAATTTTATTATTTATTATTTTATTATTTGTTGATAAAAAATCATCGATCCTAATAAAAATAGGATACTTGATCATTATCAAATAATTATCTAACCTAATTACTAAGATAAATTTTCAAAATTGAGGTTAATTAAATGAATTCCAAAAATAAAAAAATAAATCAAAAAGGTTAAAATATCTCATCGGGCCCCTTGCCCATATTCTCTCTTACCTATTTTTTTTCCTTTATTTTTTTTTTAAATTGGACTAATGTCGACTTCAAATACAAGATACATTTATGCTTATAATTTTTCTTTTTTCTTTTTTTATATATATTTTTTTCGGTTGGAAGCTAGACTAATTCCGCATTCCTATTTATTCTTTTTTTCTTTTCGAAGAAAGGGTGGGGCGAAGTTAGACTAAAACCGAGCTTCTACCTAATATGTTTTCACAGAAATCATTTGTTTTAGGATAGGAAGAGAGCTCGTGTCTTGTCCTCTTTGTTGAGAAATGAGAACGGACATTCTACCATGCTTTTGTTGTTTAATGTCGATTGTATTATATATGGATCTTTGTTTCATCAACAATTATTTTGCATGACTTATTTCCTTTTCGATATATGAATGTTAAACATGTTGGATTGTTGGGTGTTTAAATTTAACTTTAATTGTGAATTTTTTTTTCGTGTTGAATTCTTTTTAAAAAAGAAAGTGGTTACTTGTTAGCTCGGCATTGCTAATTACTCGAGCTTAGGCAAAGAAAAAATAAATGGAAGTTTTGAGAGAACTGTCTAAAGTTTGAAATGGAGAAGTAATGAAAAAATTTGGTTAAACCGAATTATTTCAAAACCGAACCGAAATAATTTGGTTATAAACCGAATTAACCGAATTAATTTTGGTTCGGTTTTGGTTTTTATTTTTACTATTTTGGTTAACCGAAAACCGAATCGAATTATACTTAACCGAACCGTTTAACCGAATGCCCACCCCTAATGGTAAGGAGTACATATTATGCATATTTTTATTAAAAAAATATTTATTATTATAATTATGCGTTCATTTAACTATTAATTAATGTCTTGTTTGACATCTTATCCTTTCAATATTTACGCTTATCGTATCTACAAGACATTTCATGAGTATGTTGACATATCCGGATCGACATGAAACTCAATTAGTTCGAAACTAAAGACTTATATTGGAAAGAGTTTAAGCTAGTTTTTAGTTTAATTATTTTACTACATGATTTTATATTTCAATTAAAAATATTAATGTTCAATTAAATATACTAACAAATATTTTTAAAATTTTTGTAAAAGTCCTTTAAGTGGGAGCAAAATATCAAGCCAAGCATAAAGAAAGCATTACAGCAGTCTAGTACGAAAGCAATATTCTAACTACCTTTATCAAATTAAGAAAAGTCCCAAACCATTATATATCTCATAGAAGATATGGGATGCATGGCATAAGGAATGAGTAAAAATAAGTGTCATGCTTGATCCGAGATGGTGGCTCAAAATCACAAAAGCGAGACTGGTGGGGTCGAATTGGTCTATCTAAACATATAAGGGTTCGATCATCCATAGGAAGCACGTATGGTAAATCTTAATATTTGTTATAATTAATTAAACATTTAATTATATTTGTTTCAATGTAATAAGTTGGATTGTGAACTCAAAGTTCACGAGGTTTTTTTGAGGATTCACAGGAAGAAGGTTGATGATAAGTACGTATTTATCGCTTAATGAGCAAGAATTTTTAAAGTAATTAATTTATAAAGTTTTTTTTATACGTATGTCACTTTTATATAACTTATTGAGATAGCTATTTAATATTAAAATTTACATAATTATGTATGAGATCGTCGAATGAATATTTGAGGAGGAGATTGCTAGCCAATAGATGAAGGGTACTTCATCGCTCGATATCGACATGAATGAGATTTTTAAGAAGGTCGATAGAGGAGGAGATAGTAAGAGAAAGAAGATATACGGACTCGTGTCACATGCCTCTCATTATAAGTCTTATGTCGGTACATCCTCTAGTTCGACCATATCGCGGTTTCATGTCGATATTGCAACATAACGAAAGGAAATAGAGGTTCATCATTCTAGAATAGTAGAAAAGATTGAGAAACTTGAAGGTATTGTTACATCGTTCGTAACTACTACAAATGAGTTGCAACAAGTATACTCGAGAGCGGCATTTGATAATGCAGCAGATGTTGTTGAACATGCAGAGAAGCAGTTCATCCACCGATCCTCCGACCGATGACCCTATCAATCGCTCCTAGCTTTTATGTTTTCTTTTTTTGAAAAATTAACAAACTTTAAAATAATTTAAATTTTTAATAAATTTTTTATTTTATTGAATTTTGTATATTATAATGATTTTTTTAATATTTAAAAATCTTATTTATAGCATTTTTTAGTTGTTAAATTGGAATAGATTAAAATTTTCTTCCAAGGGATGAAATAAGAAATTACAAAATTAAAAAATATATATTTCAAACAGATTTAGCAACTGTTTATAACCATTGCTAAATTACAATTTAGTGACGATTCTAAAAAATAGTAGCAAAATATGTCGCTAATTGTGGATAATTTAAGATAATTTTTTAAAATGGAAGCTAAATTGTCCATATTTAGCTATGGATACGGCATCGATTTATAAAAATTGTTGCTAAATAGAGAAGGATTTAGTGACATTTTTTTTAAAAAAAGATGCCGATTTGTCAAAATTTAGCGACGATTGTTTACGCTTTTAGCGATGGCTTTGACATTATTAAATTAGCGACAAGTCTTCAAAAATTGTTGCTAATGACTTAGCGACAAGGCTTTTTTGGACTGTTTTAAACCGTCGCTAATTGGCTTTTTTTTTTTTTGGTAGTGTGTTAATGGGATATGTTAGTTTTAACAGTTACTCCATTGATAAGTTGTTAAATTGATGGCTTAAAATTATCTTTGAGCTTATGTTGCTTAGACTTTCGATATGGAAGATCTGAAATGTAATGAGTTCTAAAGAATTTCTTCGGAAGTTCAAATCATCACAACGACGAGTATTTTGTAATACTAATTTACTTAGTTACTTGTGCCTTACCTTCTCGTTTTGAGTGTTACGTGAAAGTCATTTTGTCTGTGAACATGTAATTTGTTCCACATAAACGATTTTTTTAATCAAATAAAAAATGAATCTGAGAAGCTAAAAGGAAACCAAGGCGTGAAAGCACTGCAAAAAGAAAAGAAAAAAGAAGAAAAAAAAAGAAAAGAAAAGAAAAGAAAAAAAGCCGAAGTCATGAAAAGGAACAAAGGGAATGGAGTAAAAAATAAGTAAATAAACATTTGTCAAACAACCCATAAAAGAAAACATTGCATGATATAATAGAAATTATTATTTGTGTAATTTAACAAACTTTCAATTGAATTTTCTAAATATTATATCTCACGTGCAAGGCTTGTTCGCTTTAGCAAGTGGAGAATAAAACCGGTCAAAAGTTCGACGTATCCAAGAGCTTAAAGTTCATTTATATTCTAAGGACTACTACTAATTAATTTTTCAGCACTTTCAGAGAAGCTTCCCTTTGTGTAGTAAAATGGGATTTACGAATTGTAAGGTGCAATCTGCTTTTTGTAAAGCTAAATTATCATGACAGTTCTATGCTTTATCCATACTAAATTTAAAGCGCAATGATAAAGTTAATGATTACGAGAACAATTTTGTTCCTAGAAGGACATAAAAGGTTTAGAATTTCGGCATTATCTGGGTGAATCTGTATGTTAAGTGCTAAAGCATAATAATGCCTGACAGATCATGGGAAATTTTTTTTTTTCTAAAAAAAAAACCATGAATGAATGCAATTTGACTAGTAAACGCAATTTTGGGGACTGACATAATATGCAATTGATCGATCTGAGATTTACATACACACGGATTTGTTTCAAGAAATTACGATTTCATTTAAATGTCCTAGCTTTTCCAAAGTGAGTTCACAAATCACAATTTTACGAAATTCAGTGGGATAATTTGACATCTGAATGAGTGATCTGGGGTACGATCGAATTTCAAGGATATTGCATTATGATTCAGTAATTAAATTTAAAAAAATCCGGTCCCATGAAAAAAATATATCATAATCAAATTAGTTTTCAGCCAAAGACACTAAAGAAATTACTACCATTTGCATGAAAAAGCTCATTCGAACATTGAATTGATGATCGATGGTTTAAAAAGACATTGAGGAAAAATTATCTTTCTTATATATATTACCATTTCATTTTTCTCATGCCTTTTTTCCAATGATGTCCTGGCTCATACTCTCAAAGTCTTTCTTAATTTTCCTTTGTTCATAAAGTGTATAAAGCATGTGACAATGCATAGGAATGAAAAAAGAGCCCCAACTCTTCGGTAAAAATATGAAAATAATTTATATAAATGTAAAGTGCTCCATTACAATTACCAAGGATCACTTCATACTTTAAGATAGTTAAAGGTCTTTCTCTCTCTCTCTCTATCTCTCTCTAAAGGTCTCTATCTCTCTCACACTCTTTTTCTCTAAGAGTGCAAAACATACAAAATCAATTAGATTTCATATTTACGTAGGAATATAACATGTTGATTTGGATCTCACAGCTTGCTATGAAGGACATGCCTTTTCCACTCTTCACCTTTTGTTGCTTTCTGTCTTTCTTGTCTCCTTGTCTTTCTTTATCTCTCCTTTTCTTTTCTTTTCTTTTCTTTCTTTCCTTTCCTTTCCTTTTCTTTTTCTCTGATTTTCTCACCTTGGTACCTGATTCTCTTCACCAGCACCGCTGCCTTCAGAGATATAATCATTTCAAAATGAGTAGTACACAGTAAAGTACATCAATGTGGCCTGCCCAAAGTGAACTCCAAATTAGGCTTCTTGGGGCTTGTCCCTGAAAGGGTCGATGAGCTTACATCTGACGTTCTTTCATAGCTCAAGCACTTTGGATCCATGTCCTTCTGTTGTAAAAAAAAAAAAAAAAGTAATTCAAAACTCAACTAAGAAACCATGAAAAGAAAAGAAAAGTAGCTAGGGCAATAAATTACTTAGCGCAGAGTAGCACAAGGGAATTATGTGTTGGTGGGAATCAAAGGACAATATTTGACTCAGGGAATAATAGAATATTTATCAAAGAAAAAGAAACGTTGCGAGGCGTACATTTTGAAAGACTGCCAAAGTGTGCCCACTGTGCATTTCCCAATACGACTCCTTAATAGTACAATTATTTACTAGCACTATATTATGACAATGTGTTATCTTACCTCTATAATTATATATTTGACTCTGCCGACTGACTGTTGTATAGTGTATATATAGATCTGAATAACCTATAATTCATGGAGAGCTCAGGTTTTAGGTGTTAGGGTTTTGTTTAATCATGAACATGGAAATGCCTTTTTTTTTTTTTTTTTTTTCATTTCCGCTAGAAAGCCTTCCATATTATATTATAAGAAAATCATTCTCCATTGTGACAGGAAAAAAAAAAAAAAAAAACCAACTATAATCCATTCAATAGGTGGTTTTTTGTATTACGAAATTGCCCCTTCAACTTGTGAATAACCTGAACCAGGAGTGTGAAAGGCCCTTGCCTTTCTTGTTTTTCTCCAATTGGTATGACTTGATGAAGAAAGAAAATAAACCAATCTGCTGTTCTTCACTTATTCCAACAAAAGAACATTGATGTGTTGCATACAGCATCTTGAAAATCAAGGGCATTATAGGAAAGAAAGATTTGAAATTTTGGTACCTCAAGTGGGGGTAAGTTTCCGCCAGAATCCTTTATTAATTTCCCATGCAACAAAGCTTCCCTGCTACAAACCAACAAATTGAGAGAATATTTTCCTATCAGTGGAAGCCATGCAGAGAAGAAAAAAGCAAAACTAAGAAAAGAAAACAATCTTTTACTGTCTTGTTTATAGTTTCCGTGACTTTACATTTTATTTTTGTGCTGATTGAAGATAAAGTTGAACTCACCCATGTGATAGCCCATTACACACTGCAACAGATAGCAAGGAAGTTTCAAATGGCATATAACTTTGGCACCACGATTTTCCAATAATGGGGCCATCATAGGGTTTATCTTTGACACTAAGCATTCTAAATGTAGGCCCCATTTAATAGTTCTCTCTATCTGAGCCCACAAAATCCAAAGGAAAGAGATATCGCCATTTTTTAGGTGGATTTGTCAAAGGGGATTCTCATGTCTTGGAATAATGGTAGGAGAGTGGGTGGATTCTTTAACTTCCTTTTCACCCGCTGCTACAGGGAAGAGTATAATTACCCCATCATGGAGTTTCAGTCTTCATGATGGTCGTGGACAGACAGAACAATGCAGTGAAACCATGATTTCTTCCTCTTTTTGTGTTTTTCTTGCATGATGGCATATTTGATATATATATATATATATATAATGTTGAGATGTTGAGTGGAGAGAGAAAGACTGGACATGGTCCTACAAACAGTACTTCAGTTTACTTTTTCATTAACTTAATTATGAGTCTATCATGCATAATCCTATTTTACATTAGTCATCACTCATATACCTAGATTAAGGAACAAAGGGTCAAAAACAAGAGGATCCAGAGAAGCTAGATTTGACACATCCAAAGAAAAAGAGAGAAAAGGAGTGACTAGCTAGAACATGGAGGATAGGATACCAAGTGTTACGATATCGATGCAATTTGCATCTGCTTTGTCCTTACTACATGGAAGTATTCCAAACTTTGTTTTAGAAATCATAATTGGGGCTTCCTTACTTGTAGAATGTCGAATAACCAAAGACCATTTTTCAATGGGTTGCCTAGATGGCAAGTTAATTAAAAAGCGAATGATAAATTAGATTTGCTAATTCAGTATCTCTAGCTAGCAATTAAAACAACTGTAGGAAGGGGAAGAATTCAGGTTTAAATCTTGCCTTTGTTACCTTAAGTAAGATCTGAGAAGATAGAAATAAGAAAAGATCATTAGAAACTGGGAACTACATCACAAGTTCCTTCTGCTTGTTCTAAATTCCATTTGTTTGTTATTGTTTTTTATAATTTGTCCTTTTATTCTCCACTAAAGCATTCTTTCTGTAACTAACCCATGACATCAAAGGGCAGACAAAAGAGTAAGGAGCATGCTATAGTAGTAGTACCTTGAAGAATTGCTCCAAAGAGCGTGATAGTCCTTGTCCTGGTGTGCACTTGGTCTTCCCTGTTGCATTGACATTTCTGACCTTGTAGGATTTTGAATGTCAAACATCAAATCTTCTGAAGTATCTCCAGAGGATCCATTATCAAACACATCCGATTGTGCTGTACACGGTAATTAATAAACCAAGAGGAGAAGAGAAATTATATGAAGTCAGTAATATTTAAAACCAACTTAATATTTAAGGAACATTGATTAACATAAAGCACATAAATAATATTGTTGGATATGAATATTCAATTCATCACTAAAATTTTTCAAGAAACAAAGACATAAAAGAAAGTATGGAGTATAGGGAGATATTAACCTGAAGGAGCTGCTGCTCTATCAGTGGTTTTTACAGTTCGATACATCTGCATTCATTAAATTTTCACAACCAATATTAGACTAATTCTGTGATGAAGCATCAAATAAAGATTAATGGTCTTTGATTAACAGAACCGAAAGAAATGTGAAAAACTTTAAACATGAAAAGATAATACAAGGAAAAAAAAAACAATATACGGTTTAGGATACATACATCAGAGATGGTCTGATCCAGTGCAAGTACAAAATGTAAAAAGTGAGAGATTAATGGAACTTTGAACAGAAGCATTTATTTGCCTACATAAATGCATGTGTGTAGTTATGGGATGTGGGATGCTGGAACGAGATTCACCATGGTTAAAAACGTGGGGTTGATAAGCCCATCTGAGAAACATATCATTGAGAAATGATGGTGTTTTGTCTTTTTTCTTTCTTCAATTTAAGAGAAAATGTTTTTAAAAGAAAAAATAATGGACTGAGTGCAAACTTGTCTCGGCTTGGCTATGGCTCATTTTGAATTCCTTGGGCTTTGTCTTACTTGATTCCTGAAATCGATAATACTCTCTCTCTTTCTCTCTCTCTGGTTCATTCTTCCAAGCAAAAAGCTGTTTATTAGCTATCAGCACCATCAGATCTAGTAGAAAAAGAAGTGCTTAAGGATTTGAGAGACCCTCTGCAGGGAAACGTTGGAATTTGTGACCTATGTAATAAAACACCCTTCCAGTAATGTAGGCTATTAAGAGGCAAATTCTGCTTAGAAGTACAATTAACACTGCATCAGTTTAACACTATTAGCTCAAGCCAATAAGTTTAGTTAGAAGGTTAGAAAGAAAACAGAAAACAATAAGAAAAAGCCACAATTTTGCAACATTTCTTTCTTTCTTTATTACACACAAAGGAATTTAAACTCTAGAAACAGGGAGAAAAACCAGTTGAGAATATGCTTTAATTACCTGTAAATGTGATTTAACATGTGCCAAGGTGAGATCTTTCACATCCATAAGCTCAAGAACTGACTTGGGTGTAGCCCCTAAACCCGAAAAAAAGAAAAGAAAACAACAAAGAAAAAGGAAAGGAAAACATGAGTCAAGTTTCTTTTCCAAGTCCCTTTTTTTTTTCCAATGTTCTTGAAGATGGTAAAGAAATGAAAAAGAAAGGTGAAAGAAGAAGGGAAAAATTTCTGAAAAGATAAAAAGGAGAAGCTAGAAAAGAAGGTTAGAGAAAAATAAAGAAACAAAATGAAGCATACTTTCATGGCCACCCAATAGCTCTACAGCATGAACAAAGCGAGCATGAAGAGTGGTGGTCCAACGCATCCGTGGTGCTCTCATGCTTCTTTTAGCTGGAAACCTAGATATGAATCTTGATCTCATCAACCCTTGAGACTGATAGGGACTTAAACTTGTGGCACTAGTGTTATTAGTAGCCAAAGAAGAAGCTTGAGAGCAGGTATTATCTAAAGTTTGCTGAGAGAAAGGAAAAGGAGAAGGAGGGTTTTGGTAGACAGGAATCCCTCTAATGGGTCTCAAGAAACCAAGCTCTTGCGTTAGCCCTTGTTGTTGTTGTTGCTGTTGAAAGAGCAGTGGATGATGATTATGGAGGCGGTTTTGTTGGTGATGGTGGTGTGTGAACTGGTTTTGTTGAAAGGAATGGAAAAGATTGGTACCATTACAATTGTTAGTATTTTGGAGGATATTGTGGAAATGGTTGGAGTTAGGCTCGGAAACCCTTGGATTAGATAGCGAGAGCTCGAAAAAAGTATCAGGTTTTGCCATTGAAGACATGGAGTTTCTTGAGTCCAAAGCTCTCTTCCAAAACCCCAAACCCATCTCTTCTTCGGTTCTCCTCCATGTTGATGTGGGTTTGCTGTTTGGTGGGCTAATTTGAAGAGATAAATCTGGTTGTGCTGGGAATAGCTCCATCTTTAAGCAGCCAAACAGTCCCTTTAGGTCTCCTAATTACCTCCTCTTTAATTTGTCTTTTTTGTTTTTTTTTTCTTTTTTTCTTTTTTTTGTAAGTACAGTGCAATAGGAGAGTATATTAATTTGTTAAGGATCAAGAAAGATGAAGTTATCGAGTGTTGTCATAGACAGTTTAAGCTCAAGGGTTGAGAAATTTTAGGTGAGATTGCTGGGTTTGCTTTCTTTAGATCAAATTGAGTGGAGTAGTTGCAGAGATTTGAGATTGAGAGGAGGAGAGAGAAGAAATGACAGGGTATGAAGTGAATTGTTGTTTCTTTTGTGTGAAGTATATGTGAGAAAATGACACTTGAAGGGGTATAGGAAGAGAAGGAGAGAGAGAGAGAGAGAGGGAGGGAAAGAGAAAGACGAGGGTGTTTCTTTTGTGGACGTGGGGGTAGGGAACTAGGGCGAGAAAGGGAGATAAAGAGAAAAGTAAATAAGTTTGGGGACTTGATTCCTTTTTACTACTACTACTCCAATTCTTTTCTTTTTCTCTTGTTTTCTCGGGAGGGGAAAAGGAAGATTTTAGTGTAAACTTTAACGTGTGCGTTAGTTCCTCAACAAACTCATACTAAACTTTTTAATCCACACGCACTTCTTTAGACCGAAATAATGGTTGGTGCTGCTTTTCACAAAACCTTAAAATCTTACCAATTATATATATATATATATTGATTTATTCACTATTTTTCACATCCCAATGGTTGTTAATTTCATAATTGTTAAACCCTTTATTATGATCATTGGGTTTTATAATTAAATGGATCCACTAAATAATTTTATTTATTCAAGTTTTGTTATGATCCGAATTCGTTAATCTATTTATTAAATGGATCAAATTAATATTAATTTTGATCTAATATGATAATAGTCCAATCTGAAATTAAAAATAATATTTTTAAAATATTAAAAATTTAAATATGAAAAAAATATAAATATGAAATTATGTTAAAATTTAAATTTTATTTATTATAAAATTCAAATAACACATATCCTTCTAAATTGACGATCGTATTTTTAAAAAATCACACGTAAATTTCTTATTATTTTCTTAATTCAATTTTATTAGGAAAAAAATTATAAATTGACCTTTTTCAAGAGTTGGCTTTGTTATATTTGTCATCAACTTTTTTTTTTTTTTTTGGCTACCACGTGGATACCAAATAAAAATTATTTATTTTTTATTTTTTTTAGTTTTATCATACTTCTTATGCAATTCAAGATAACTTTTTTTAAAATTATTTGATTTTGTACTTATAAATTGTGTGACATTTTGAATAATAGATGAAATATTATCTTAATATATTTAATTATAAATGTCATACGAGTAACCTCTTGATGATCGAAAAAATAGAAATGTATAAGTATGGAGTCTCCACTCAATTTTCAAAAAGGTAAAAACTAAGAAAAATCTAGCATTGATCTTAAGAGTTCTAACGAAGGGGGTTGATTATATAACTGGAGAAAGCTACAATCACACTAGTGTGCCCTCACATTGAGGTTGTTTTATATTTCTACCTTATATAAAGAATTCATTCATGCAAATTACATTTCTATCTTGATTTACGTGTTTGATTATTTGAGAATTTTCCGACCGATCCTAAGAGGTGGGATTTGGAGACCGAAATCAAACACAATCTCTCATCTAATATGTAATTAAGTAATTTGAGCTCATTTGGAAAGGTAAAAGCTAGGACTAACGCCCTTTGCAATTTAAATGACCAAACCCATACAAAATTAATATAAAATAAAATAAACTTAGACCATAGGTCTAAATTCACCTATCAAATCATAAAATAAAATAAAAATTACAAGTCCATAATGATAAAAAAAAAAATGGACATAGGCCTCAAGCTCATATCACCTTACCTTACCATGTTAAAATATTAAATTAAGCGCAATACCCAAATTCGAGTTAAATCTACAAGAAGAAAAAAATTAGTAACCACAAAAATAAATTAAAATTAACTTAAATCATATAAACAATGACAATAAAAATAAAATAAAATAATAAAAAAAGGTTCTTCATTGGAACAAAATCGTTTCGGATCTTAAATCTACTCCATCTAGACTCACCTAGACTAGTATCGCATAAATAAAATACACAAATTGCAAGACATAATAAAATTATTATAAAAATCACAAATCACATAATACGACACCATAAAAATAAAATAGTCAATAGCCCTCCGCAAGGTCCTTGGCCTATTAATTTTGAATTGTCTTATTTTAATTTTCTAAAAAATTTGCCAGCCTATTTTTGACTTCATCATTCAATGACAATTCCTCAATGACTTTTAATATAAACAATAAAAATATTACATATGAAGTAATTACCCTTAACCCCATATTTTTTAAATAATAATATTAATAAATATATATTAAAAATTAAAATAAGAAAAACTCTAAAACACTCTAAAAATATTAAATATTCTCTACCTCAATAAAATCACACTTTTATCACACATACACATCAAAAAAATTTAAATTGAAATCCTTTTAAATCTGTTAAATAACATCAAGAACTCTCAATTCAAATCTTTTCAAGTAAGCCTAAATTAAGCAATTTTAATGCAATTAATCATCTCCATCTTATGTTTTTCACATAATTGATATTATAGAATATAAATCAATGATATAATTATGCAATCCACAAAACTTCAAATGAAAATTAAACAAAAAAAAATTGAAACGTAGGGTATAATTACCAAATTAGAAGTTCGATGACTGAATTGGACACAAGTAAAAAAAAGGGCAAAGAGAAAGACCTGGCACGCATGGTGCGTCTCGGACGAGCCACTTTAGCAGGTGAGAGAGCATGGATGATCAAAATGACATCGAACTAACGACTCTAGCTTCGTCTCTTCCTTCCAGTCATGGTAGTTCGACGCGTGTTGTCTTTTGATGATTGAAGGAACGACAGTGCTAGGAACATCAGCCTATGTTTCTCCTTTTTTGGTGTATGACGTCTCTTAGGTTTTTTTTTTTTTTTTTGGCTAGATGTTTTAATTTTTTCCCATTAGATAGGTGTGTGTTCTCCTTTTTATGTATGTGTATGTATAGTATTTATAAGGGTGTATCTACAGTTGATCTTAATTTTTTCTGTTCTGGTTTTTCTTTTTTTATTATTAGTCGAGCCTAAATAATCTACCCTATTACCTATCCCGATTTAGGCCCAATTCTCTCTTTTTTATTCTCTCTTTTTTTTTTCTTTTTTTATGGGGGTAAAAATTGGGTAATGACAATACATGTAGTGGTTGAAATATATTTTATATTCAAGTAACATATATACTAAATATAGTGAGCATAAATTTTTTACAAAACCAGGTGATAAATCTAATAGAACTATGAATTTGATTCAAATCGTTAGGATCTAGATCAAATTTATATTTTTAAAACTCGAGGTAAATTCATAAGATTTAATTTGATTCATTTTATTAAACAAATTAAGTCATATTATACTATAATTCGATCCGAATCGACCTATTAACGAGTTTTAATGATCATTTTTAAAATCCAATTTGATAAAGCTTCGAATTCGATCCGGGTCTATTAGGATTCAAATTCAAATTTACTTTTTAAAATTTGATTCAAATTTATAAGATTCAATCTGATCTATTTAATTAAATAAATCATATCCGGATATACTATAATTTAATTCGAATCCGATTTGTTGACATACTCTAGTGATCATTATTGAAATCTAATTTTCATAACCAAACAATTGTCCTTACCATATTATTTTCATGTGACAAATTCTATATCTTTCTATGCCTATCATAATTACATCTAGTTCTTTAAAATTATAATTAGATTAGTTTTTAGGGTTACTATCCTCATATGTCCTTATATAATTGGTCAATTTTCTAATCTGTCTTTTAAAAAAAAAACACCGATAATCTGTCCTTATATTTTGAATTTGTTTGTAATCTATTACGTTGGTTAAAATTTTTGATCAATTTTTAAAATTAATCTTCATATTAGTAGGTATAGATTACAAGTGCCAAATAATAAAGATAATTTTGTCAAATCATATACCATGTGTAAATTACATACTTAATTTAGCAAAACAATTTTACTAAAAAACGAGATTAGAAATCGGATCAAAATATAAAAAAGATAGGTTAGAGGCATCTTGTTTAAGGAAATTGGAAAATTAAGTTATTATATAAGAACTTGTAAAGGTATTAACCATAGTTTTTATCAAAAAAAAAAAAAACTATATCGGTTTAAAAACTTAAATTACAATAATCAAATAGTTCTTTTTATTTGACTTTTGACTCACCGTCATTTATCATATTATTTTCTTGAGAAATTCGATCTCTTTCTATGGTTATGATAATTACATAATGTCCTTTAAAATTATAATTAGATTAGTTTTTGGTAAAGAACTATATAAATTCGAAAACTTAAATTATTAAATGATACTTTTAAAATGGTTTTATATTAACATGGAGTGAAAGCTTTTAAATTTGAAATTTGTATTGGTTCACCAAGTGTGTTGTGCTAAAATCTTAATTTACTAATTACAAGAATTAAAGTTATGATTTCAGTTATCGATTCTCAATGATTTGAATTAAACTTAATCCATTTGAATGAAACTCTAAAAATAATTTAGATTGACTCTATTAGATTTATACTAATGCTAGATATGTCCTTTCACTTATAAAAGTTGTTCCTACAATAATTAAGAATTAAGACCACAAGTTAGACACGATCCGCATATGTTTGGAGTAATTACCACCTATCAAAGTATGTTTGTCTTGCAATTAAGCATTTTCTCAAAATAGTTAAAGAAACTAGCAATCTAACTAGATTAAGACAAAAGTCTTTAATTTATGTGTGTGTGTGTGTGTCTATGTCATACTTACTTGAGTATCGGGTAGTCCTTTCTATTGGGCTTAAGACTCATATTTCTTGGAATAATTGTCAAGTAATTAGAATGGAGTAATGATCAATGA